CATTCGGCTCGTTCACGGACCACTTAGCATATTTTTATTACATTAAAGTAGKCGAAATCTATAAAACATTTTTTAGGGGATGCGCTCTACCTACCCTTCTCGTTCTTTATTTATATTAATCGATGTGAACATTTCCGGTATTACACGCCAGAAACAACTCCACTAAGTTTACGTCATACTATTGCAAGACTCGCGTACCTATAATACATATTATATCAATGATATTATGAATATAAAATATTCGCATCAATAAAAATATTCCAATTATTTTATTCTAATACAGATTGTTTTTAAAATTATATATTTCCAATAAATAGTCATTCTTAAGTAAATTTACGACATATTTTTTATAATTGTGTATAACACTGAATAGTCGTCAATTTGAAAAGCAATTAGAAGCATATTATATACGTGTACTCGTTATTGAACAATTATTTGTCGTCCCGTCTAAGAAAACATTGTTTTGGAAATTATACTAATTATTAACCAATACTGCAGAATATACACTATAATATTGCAGGAAGAACTATAAAAATATTTGGTACCTATCATTCTCGTGGCGAAACAGTGCAGATAATTAATATTTTTGTATTCCTATAATAATATTGAAATTTAGGATTAAAATTTAACAAATAATGTATTGAAGTATTTCTAAAAATAAAATAAAAATTGATTTACTTAGAATTGAGTTGTTTAATAAAATTATATTTAAGTAATCACTAATCACCTTGTTATATTTGAATATATTATAATATAGTGTTCCAGTGCAGGTGATCTAGGCGTGTGGCATCGAAGTCTCTACTGCAATATTTCACAAATCAATTTTATATTACAATAGGCCGTAGAGTAGGTAGCTAATTTATATTGTGTACACTGTACAGTGAATTTTATCAGTTTACAGAACCGTATTACACAAGATTGTCAGAGGACACGAAAAGTGACAGATTTCCTGTGATGCACATTTTGCACATTTGATCGTGAAACGACGATACTTGAGATTTGAACTAGACTTAAGAAATTTATTTTCTGAAAATGACATAAAATGTGTTAATGGTTTTTGGACATCTTTGACGATTATTTTYGTGAACACTTATGTATAAGAATATTATGATAATTATTAGTCTATCATCTTCTAGTCTTATATAATATTGATCGATTGTACAATACAAAATGTTTGTACGAGACACTATTCGCCGTAATCTACTACACTTGACCCTAATAGTATATTAACTGTTATATAATCTATTTAATAATATATCACTAATAATGATATGACATAAAGTTTGCGTAAAAAAATTCATTTATATTCTTCTTGAATCTATGACTAATTGTTTAGTTATTTATATAATTTAGAAGTGTATTCAATAGATTTAAAAAACAAAAAAAAAAACTATCCTTTAATAGTTTTGATATTTAGGAGCTCATAAAATTKAATTCATACATGTGACTAAAGATTATGTGCGATACAACATCTGAATTAATTTCTATAATCCTATTTGAAATTTTCGTATAAAAAWATTGAAATTGTCAGAAAACAAGTCAAAGATAGATATAATAGGTAGGCATTTAATTTTGTATTAATAAATGTTCAATTTTTAAATATTTACCGTAAAAATTATATTAAAAATGCCTATACTATTATTATACTTTGGGTTCTACAAAAATTTATATTAAACAGTTTTCTATTCAACACTGATTGTTATGGAAATAGAAAATTTTATGAAAGAAAAATTCTAAAATTAATCAACCTATTTATAATTGTTGGAAAAATAGTATTAGTAATCAATTATGTTAKAGTATTTTAAATGTTCTGTAATTTATGAAGGATCGTCTTAATATCTTAGGACTTTTTTTATTATAAAATTCAATTAGGTAATACTGTTCATTTAAATCTCCTGTAGATTTTGTACCGTATTAAAAAAAATTTGTATTTTTAAAGTTTTTAGTATAGATACAATTAAAACCGTAATTATAATATATATGCTTTAGTTAAATTTGAATCCATAAAAGAGCAACTAACTTGCAATGATATWGCGAATATAGAAATAAAATAATTAATTAAATTGTAATAAACGCATGCTCGACTGCAAGTAAAACCATACCAATAAAAGWATTACAAAAAAGTCAATAAATTAAAACCGTTTAATAGGAACTCAGTCTATGCACATTTCTTAGGTTTCTCTTTACAAGTAACATTCGAGCACGAATAACAATTGAATGCTATAATATGTCTAATCCAGATTATTGTAGTGTGGTAGTAACAAAAAATTGAAGAATGTCCAATAGTGGGCATGGGTAGGTATAATAGTTGCGTGTAGTAGGTTTATCGTCAGCTGTCGTTCCAAAGGAATCGTCTTAAACTTATTTTAACTTCAAAAACATTTCACCCATCTCAATATAATATGTGTATGGTTTGTTTTTATTTTTTTTTTTGGCCTTATGAAAGTGTACGACTGCACATGATCGAGTAGTTTCGAAACAACGCGCCTGCGAGGTCATATAATATAAATAATATTAAATGTTTAATGGCGACTACCTGCAGGACGTCGAACTTATCGACAGACTTGTGAAGTTTAAGAYGATCGCGGATGACGATAAATATATAGATTTATGTATAGGCAAACTTTCAATGTTTAATGCGCCGGACGGACGGCGTGACGTGGCGCCGAGACGTCGCGGTCAAGTGTTGTTATTGTTATATAGTAATACGATGTATAATAATATTATACTTAGTTTATTTAGCCAAYGGGTTCRTGCATCAACAATGACGCCTATATCAACAATAACACCGTCGTCGTTAAATCGGAAGAGAAGTCTTCTCCTCTCTCGGTTGCTGTGGTCGTGATGGAGGTGTCGATGATGAGGGTGAGGGAGGTAGGGGCGAGTGTCTAAGTCTCTGCTAATAATTACGTACCCTCTTGTTGGCGGATTAGTGCAGCTCGCGTTATATTTGCAGAGTGTTTGCGTTTTAGCCAAAARTGTTAGCGAACCCTCCTCGAAAAATTCTTCTATTTTTCTAGTAGATTTCCTCGTGGTATACGWGTGATGATTATATAATATATGTCTTACGGTTTCATTGTCAACATATTATGTTTAACGAGCCTCTATCAATAAAACATATAGTCTTAGATTGTCCTCTATATGTCAACACAAGAAGCATTTTCAATCAACCTTCTTCAATGGAGGAAGCACTTGGTGAACACAACTCCCACCTGATCCATAGTTTCTTCAAATCCATTGGCATTGGCAAAAAAATTTAAATATTAAGTCGAATCTATGTATACCCAATTCGTTGTAAACATTACTGTATCACTTAAAACTTGTAAATATGAACTTATAATCATAGCTTAATTATATGTATACATTAATATCTGTAACATACATAGGCTAATGACCTAGTTGTCGAAGCCTTATTCTTAATAAAAAAATATATATATATTATGTTTACGCAAATATTTTGACGACAAACTAATATAATATTATGATAAAGTTATTTTTTTATATAATATATATTACGTTTTTTAAAACGAAAAACATTTAGATTTTATAAATAATATACTAAACGTCCAATTAATAATGAGTATGGGTGGGATAATAATAGGTATAATCATTTTTCAACGGTGAATATACTGCTTAGGTATTTAAAGCAGAAAAAATGATTTTATTGACTATTTTTGTTTGATTTTATTCAAATATAATATGTTTAGCACGTGTTGACAATYATAGGTTAATAYTAATATACTATTTAAATTATTTTATAGTTTTTTGATAATATTATCTTACAGTGTTAGCATTAAATGTCAAGTACTACTATATATAATATCAAATATAATTAATATCGTGTAGTAACGGTAATATTTCATATTATTTTATTCGTTTTCGTTTACACACGGCCATGTTTTCCTCCGATTTCGTTCGTTTCAAAAAAAAAACTCCGTGACACGTTTTATTGAGCTGTATCATATTATATAGTATATTGGACATRTTATATAARCTTATAAATATTAATATTCGATTTATTTTTAATCGCGAAATGAAATGAAATAGAAGTATTTTGTAGCATATACAACTCCGAAAGAGCAATGTTTTTATTTAGAGAATGTACCGGAGATAACTAAAACCGTTTCAGCGATGTTTTGAGTTAACTATATAGTAATATTATAGCCGTCACCACAGATATATTATCAGCGAGTATTAATGCRTTTTGCGTTATGAGAGTGAAAATGTTGAAAAAATGTTATTACGATTGCTGCTCTCTAATAATATTGTTGGAACAATACTAGTTGAATTATAGGTACCTAACCTTTTGCAGTCTCTATGTATACTATCCTGTCCATAATGTCTGCGTACGTAAAATTATAATACTAAGTATTTAAAAGTACCTACGTTTCAAATAAAATATTGCGCATTAAAATATTATTATATCCGACAAATGTTTAGAGATGTCTCCATATAATAAAATATCAATGTATTTACATTAATTTATTGACYGTTATATAGTTGAGAGTTTACGAATCGTATTTAAGATGTTGAAAAARGACGCTTCGTTGATTTAAATTTGAATATTTATCACTTGCAAATAGCGAACGKACTGTAAGGAATAATAAATATTATTCCATGTGTAGGTAAATAGGCACCTCCAGTATTTTTACACGTCCACGTGGATGTCGAGTGTTACGTTATGCAAACATCAAACAATTGTCAACAATGGAATGAGTATATTAATATGCATTATTATTGTATCGAATAAAATATACACTAACGCTAATGTAAAAAATAAAAAGATTTGCAGCCGCCGCCGAGAAGAAGAAGAAGAAATAGTTTTTGTTGCTATATAGATATACGATACTTATAAGTATAAACAGCACAATGGCCGACAGTCACGTGCTCACAATGTACTTTAGAAATTGTCAGATTGCTAAATCCTTAATTCTAATACATCTAAGTTTATAATTTTTTCAACCCCGTTTTTATTTTATTTAATTTTTTTATTTTCACAGACATGAAGATGAGCAAAGTGGGCAACCAAACCAACTCGCAAGACCCTCAGGCGGTTAACTCTCGGGTTTTCGTGGGAAATCTCAACACATTTCAATGTAGCAAAACCGACGTCGAAAGAATGTTTCAACGATACGGTCGTCTTGTTGGTGAGTATATTATATACCATTTTATAGTTTGATGTATAATTATAAGTTCATTTTCGTATGCATTTTTTTTTTCACTAAGAACAGTAAAATGTGTGCCATTTCAAAATTGTATGACGTTTAAAAAATATTTGAATATTTTTAAACTTTAATTAATTAATTAGTGTATATCCATCGATACTATACACCGGATAACCGATTTCTACCTATTTTAGGTTTTTAATATTTGAATATAATACCGCTGATACTGATAGGTTTTCCATATTATAATAATACACAACACAAATGTCAGAAGACATAATATTATAAGAATAATAATTGATTTATATATACTAATTAAATTCATGTAGGTACTGCAGACTGCAGTACAATATGATCACATCATGACACGAGTTCAATAAAATCAAAACGTGACCTAACCTTATATATATATAATTAATATGTGTGTGTGTGTGTGAGTATACCTAATTCAATTGTGCGTGTTAATAATGTTATGTATATTGCCAGCAAAAATGTTACCGTCAGTAAAAAATCGAAAGTCGCCCTTTAACGATAAACTGAACACTGTGATGACATCAGTAGTATGTTTTGGTAGGTTCTGAGGCACACCGCAAATCCTGAGAATCCGACTACCCCACCCAGCCAATGGCTCAAGCTATGTTATCGCAAACGTGCCCTGTATTGTCCAATTTTATAGATTATTGTTATCATTTATTTATTTATTGTGATAGATGTTTTATTGTTTTTGTGGCAAACATTTTTTTTAAACAGTCTATAATCTACTGATTTCACCAATTGAATGTAGCAACATTTGTTTGCTAATAATATCCTCCATTTCGACAGTTCTTTTGGCTCGTTTTAAATTTCGTACAGCAGTACAATTCATTTTAGTATAGCTACCAGCAGTCTGTACTTCATTTAAGGCCTCGGTTAACTAAACTGATTACACATATTATTTTTGGACAGTCGTYTCAAAAGCCYGGCACAATCTTAATGCTGATAAATAATAAGTCCAATACTGTCATTCRTATTTTATATATAGGTTTAATGTTTATGTCTGTTATCTTCTGTTCTTGTTGAACAGTAATTTCCCAACGTTTGGAAATTTATCCGCAATTAGTATGTTATATTTGTGTCCGAAATGTGTATGTTACCTTTTTAGATTTCGTYGGCAACTAACATTGTTTTGTCACATAGTCCGCAACTTTGAAACACCGCTCGGTCCTTTCCCATTATTTCATCAAAATTTTTTTTATTTACATAATATTTTTAAATACAACTGATTACGAAACATGCACGTTTATTAATAACATAACAATCAAACAATATTATCACAAAATTGATTACATAATATATATTATRTATCATAAAATACTAAGAACAAAATCCCGAAAACCGCGGTCATTATACCCCGTTCGGTTCTCACGAATTTCCTGTCACGTGTTTTTGGCCTCAAGAACGCGGCACAGACATTCCAGCGTATTCGAAACAGCGTATATTGCAAGGGCTGGGTTTTGCGTTTGCTTAAAATCAAAACGGATGCTAGCCACAGTGGTCAGAACGAGTRTCATCCGACATTCATAAGTTTGTCAATACCGTCGAAGAAAACGCGCGACTTTCAGTCGACTTTTTCATCACCGTGGTTCGACCCTCACGGGGCGCAATTTAAGCAAGCCCCGCCGTCACACAGTACGAAAAAAAAGAAGGTCATCCGCTGATTTGGAAACAGGACACTCGCGAAGCTTTTGAGAGGTGCAAACAAGCACCAGCAGTGCAGATGCATGCAAATCCGAAACATGAGGTTCAGCACCGGTGCATCYAGTATACGACGACTGGCGAGGTTCTGGAACAGTTTGCAGYGGATGGTAGCTGGGCAGCCATTGGGATCTTTCTGACACAAATTGTTRTAAGCCGTCAAGCATTTCCTTCCCAATATCGAGGAAGAGCTACTGCTCTTCAAGGTCATTGCTGTTCATGTTTACGACAAAAACTAAAAAAAAATTTTACCTTTATAAGTTTTWAATCAGAGTTKAATGTTGTCAAAACTGCTAAAAAACTAAAGTGTACAGGATAACGCCATTTTCCCGATCGCGCCTTTCGCGCCGCCGGACCGTAATTTTGTACATGTTATTAATATTGATTTGGTCAGCCCGCTACCTCCGTCGAACACCATCAAGGAACTGTAGAATAAATACAGAGGAGAAATTAAAATTATAATGGGAGGAATACAAACCATGTCGAAAAACATACCAGACCAAGGGCACTGATTCTTAAAGTCCAACATTACAGTGCATGAGGTTAACGTCATGATGGCTGCAATAACAGACGGTTTATCACATGGTTATGAAATTCTCCAAAAGTTGATTAACAAAGTAGGTCTGAACCACCAAATTCTATAGGTGGAAATTTAAATGCCACTAAGTTAATAATAATTCAGAAACAGTTGAAATACAATAAAGATAATAAATAATACGATACCGACATCAATAGCAAATAAACATATGATGAATAACCATATCTATTGTAAACAGCTTTACCTACACTGACTAGSAAAAGAATTATTAACATAGCACAACGAAWAATGATTTTAGTCATTTTGTTGTTATTTATGTACATAATAAGCAATGAAAAAACAAATACAGTTTCTCTATTAAAAACGAAAAAGAACATGAAATCTCTAATAATTATATTTTTATTGGCGTTAAATTTATGTACATCACAGGCCGGAAATAACARAGAAGACCTGAAAATTATAATAAAAGAGATAAAAACCCTTTCGAACAACATACTACAACAAGACGAATCATTGTTACAATCGAAAATTACCATACATGATTTGAATGCCATGATGATGGGGATATTAGGGGATTTATTGCAAGGATTTGACATGCAAAAAAAATTGTTTGAGAAAGAATAATATTTAATAACTGTGTAAAATGGATTCTTGCATAATAAATACGTACGTAAATATTAAGTTTTTCGCACGATCTATATTATGACTAATATTTTTACGAATTTTTTATAGATCGCAGAAGATACTACAAATGAAAAAACAGTTTCTATATTAAAAACAAAAAAGAAGATTAAATCACTTATATTATCATTGGCATTTAATTTATATCAATCTCAGGCAGGAATATTTGGTAATACGACTCATTAACGTCCGGCGGTAGCCTATACGGTATCATCCATATTTACTACAGGAGTCAGCAACCTTTTTACCTACGAGGTYCATAATTTGTTTCAGTTTTTCATTGATGGTCACATATATATAATATATTTAATCGATTACTAACTAAAACAGATTGTGATAATATTATACCGGAAAGTACTTCACGTGGCGCGAACGCATTCATTATTATTAGTAAATAATTTATTTCATTATGTATATTCGAATCGAAGGCTTCTTACAGAAGTTCCGGTTTATACCGGAATTACTGTACAATACGTACATTATACTGTATTGAAGTTGTATTTGCTATATACACAAAACGCCAACCTGCAGACGGACATTACTCGATGACCATCGCCTGTCAATCCCTGTGCAAATGGCAGCGTAGATCGGAAGAATAGGATGTGAAGGCCCCGATTAATAAACCAAGACTGCTTGATTTAAGCTCGCGCATAAATTTATTATATTATTACCTCGTTAATACTATATGCGCCGGTCGATGGATTTAAACGCTTATTTATAATATTGGCGTCGGTCAGTCTTTCGAAAACATTTTCTCGCTCCAATGTAATCTATTATTATGGTCCATTTAAAATGCATACGATGAGCCTTAATCCGACAAATACACGCCACCCGTCTGTCAGGGTCCTCTGTAATCCTCTTAAGTACAAAGTTCGGTCACGACAATTATAATATGTAGAGTCGTGTTCCGACACCATCGCTAAGACATACATTGAATGTATGTATTACATTCCAATAATAATAATAATACATATAATATTCCAATGGCCATAGTTGCCGAGGCTTAATTCTAATGAAAAAAAAAATAAAAATATTAATTCGAATATCTTACACAGTACAATAGTTCTGCAGTATTATTTACGCCGCCTGCACTCCATTTTACATAATAATATGCGATGTATAACTTTATGACGATTAGGTTTTTGTTATATGCCTAATTAATAATTGTTYGTATTCACCGACCAGCGGGGAGGTTTAGTTGTTAGATAATTATTTTTCCGGACGATTTTTATACACACTCGAAAAACTGCGAATTCTGCATCTGCGTATTATACGAGAGAACATATTATTATCCACAGCAGCGTTCGCAAAATACATATATATATATATATATATATTATATATTATATTTATATCATGGTTATTTCGTGAGTGTACATCTCTGCAGACGACGAATTCTTTGGGTTCCGAAGTGGTGGAATTTGCGAGACGAAATAGTCGTCGTCGTCGTCGTCGGTGGTAGTAGTTCGGATCCGAAAAATTAAAATGGGGTTAGAGGTCGTAGACTCGTAGCCAGAGATACGGAGGTATATGTTATATATTGATAAATTCTCTAGGCATTTCTAAAAGTTTTCAATAGGWGACCCAGCCTGTCTGGTCGCAATAATTTATACAAGATGATTTTTTTTAGGTAAACACTCTRTAAAATTCAAATAAAGATGCTGTTAGGACGGTGGTCTTTTCCTACTCTGCAAGTATTCAATTATTTATTTATAAATTATATCATACACCGTTTATGTGAATTGTACATATTTTTTGTAAAAAAAAAAAGTACATTTCATTGAAAATTACCAACGTTTTCGGAAATATTTTTTTTCAAATAATTAGAAAACTCGATAAAAATAACATACGCCTATAGTTAGATTTATATACCTACTAAACATAAATAACAAAATTACACAAAAACGATATGTATACAGTTAATGAATAAACTAAAATACAACAACATTTTTTTTTAGAATCAATATAGTTTAAAAATAAAATAAACTATTGTGGAAATCAATTAGGCTTTGGAATACCAAAATGGTAGGTACCTATTATACTTACCTAATTATGACGTTTATAATACAATAATTATTGTAATGACTTCTAATTATGTGGGTAAACAAAATATGATATATGCAAAAACATCAAACAATTTCGTTAAAATGAGTGTGTTTACCTTTGAAAGAATCGCCCCATCATTTATATACCTATACACACAGTGTGTATAAATATACATATYATATAGTGCCACATACCATAGCATTATAAAATGTATAGTGGTGAAAACCTTTTTGGATTTTTTTTTCCACAATGTTATTATTATTGTACACAGATCGCATATAGTCATTATTGAAACAATAATTTATACACACACACATGCTGACGCGTTTACACAATACGATATCGCGTGCGCACACATTATATATCGCGATATTATAATATACGACCCACACGAAAAGGGACTGTGGGTGGGGTTGGTCGGAGGGTGACGCGTTAATACGTCGCGCAAGCATGCTGAAAACACAATGGACATATATATGGTGACGTTAAATTAAAACGAGCCACTCTAAAGCGTATATTATGTATGTAATGTCGTCGAGCGATTTGACGGCCGGCGGCGGACACACAATGGCGTAAACCACGCGGCTGATAACCGCGACGACCAAAACCACCCACCCACCCACAACAACCTCTCCTCATCACGCATTAAGTAGCGGCACACGAGATAATGTTGTGTCGAAACCCCGGGGCGCCCCGACTCGAAAACCTTCCCCCAAACCCCGGAAAAGCGTCCGACAGGGGCGGTACTGCGGCGTCCCTAAATCTCGACGCCAACCGATTTTCGATGATAACAATCGTAGATAATGATAATTGTAGTCGGCGCAACCGAATATCGATAATATTTTCCGTTCGTTTCGTTTTTTYCGYACACAAAAAGTAATCGATATCGTTCTGCACATACACATTCGAACCGTTTTCGTTCGCGTAGTGTCTCCAATAATAAATAAAACCAACTGTAACAATTCGAGGTTGATGAAAATCCCCAAAACAAATGATTTTTCCTCACGTGTCCTTGTACGGCGAAAAAAAAGATATTTTGATTATGCGATCGACTTCACGGCTTTCGAAGATTTTAAATYGTGCGAGACGCCTCTCGATATTTATTGTCCGTTCAACGTCATCGCGAGACAATAAATAATTAATAACAATAATTTATCGCCGGATTACTATGCGAACGGCGGAAATATGATGGTAAGTGATAATTATTGTTCATTTACGGTACCTACCTAAACGAATTGTTTTTACGAAACATTGCAGAATATCTGATTATAAATCGTTAATAAAAACGCTGCGTCGTTCCCTTCGAACAGTTCCGGAATAATTATTTTACACCTGGGGATGGAAAGCRTCATAATATATAATGCATCACGCGAATCTGCGAATAATGTTTTTGTTTTCATTTCTGACAGGTGTGAGGCGATTACAATATTCCGACAGTAATTACTATACAGCTCTTGATTGGTAATCGACAGGTTTTTAGTCAGAGACGAACGAGCATCATCGTACTAATAATACYGTTTTATTATAGCCAAACACGTCAAAATATTTTCACAAGTCGCCTGCAATTTAGTATTTTATTGGTCTTAAAATAGATAATATAACGAGCTGGCGAACAATTCGCTTGTACTGCCGTCGAGAACACGCAGATTATAAATTAATTAATATTATATAACGAGTTTTATTTTTTATGTACAAAATAAAACTCATACAYTATAATATAGATAAATATATTTATTTTTTTAAAGTGAATAAACCAATTTTTGACAGGATGCAAAAACTGTTTGAAATTTTGAAACAATTATAATGTTAATAATCTGCCCCGTAGCGGAAAGCGTTGGTAGACGGCGGCAAGTGTAATCGGAAGGAATATAATATCAAAGAAGTACCGAGCAGAGGTATTGATTGGATGAAAGAAAAAACACCACCAAAGGAAGTTATTCCGCCAATTTWTATTATAAATAAGAAGCACTCTAAGACTATACACGGGACCGCCGTCAAAAGACCAATTTCAAGCGTGCAGGAGCAGATTATCGGAATAAAATTCATGAATTCGTCGGGGGTTGCGATCGGCCTACACTTTCAGCTCATTTCGAATGTATGGATCGACAAAACTTGTTAACATCCCCATAGCGTTTCCGAACAGGTATAATATGATGGTGGTGGAGTATAATATACCCAGTCCAACCCTTCCACCACGCGATGAATACTTTCTATATATATATATATATATGCAGCACACGCCATCCATGGTGGTACCGGTCGGTCCTGTGCAATACCTCCATGAAACCATGGTGGCAGACGGGTAGAAAATTATTAATTTGAGTATCGTGAGTTGTCAGCGACCGTAAAAAATATTATCCGCTCGTCTGAAATTACCGCAGTCACGCGTGGTATATGTGTACACACACGCATGTACACACACACAAACACGTAAACTTCCTCTCGGGAATTATTTGAATCTAAACACGTCATCGTGGTATGAATTCGGCGTTGGGTATATAATATTACCTCTATAAACAATAAATCAAACCTTCAAGATAAAAATATTTTATTAATATGCACAATTCACAAACAATACGTATACCTATACGCGTATTTTGTGATGCACTGCAAGCCAAAAGACGTTATAAGACCTTTGTCAGCATATATAATGAATTGCGATCGATATGTGAAGCTCGGTTAATCGGTAACATTTAAGTGACTAAATTGGTATACATATATATCACAATTATTATTTATTTATTTATTTTTTGGTTTTCCTTAAGCTGGTCTCCGAAGTTTTTGATTTCGCGGCCGTCGTACTATTTGAACGCTTGAATACCAGTGATCGCTCTGCCCAATATTAGACCATGGACGTCGTACGTGCCTTCGTAGGTGTGAACGGTTTCCAGATTTATGAGATGTCTGATCACGTGGTACTCGTCGCTAATGCCGTTTCCCCCGAGCGTGTCCCTCGCCCACCTCRCGATGTCCAACGATTTGCCGGTCGAGTTCCTCTTTATCARCGATACCATTTCCGGTGTGGCCAATCCTTGTTCCTTTAACCTGCCCACTTGCAGACACGCCAGCAGCCCGATGGATATCTCGGTGACCATGTCGGCGTATTTCTTCTGGATTAGTTGCGTGGCGGCCAACGGTTTGCCAAATTGTTTGCGATCCAGGCAATACGCCCGGGAAACGGACAAGCATGCTTCGGCCGCCCCGAAAGCCCCCCACGCGATTCCGTACCGGGCGTGGTTCAAGCAGCCGAAAGGTCCTGAAAAAAACCGACGGCGATAAATCATGACGATTATCACGATAATGATTTTGACAGAAGAATACCAAGTGTCTCTATRCATAGTTATGTACACACATTTAACCTGATTTACTTATCCAATTAACATAAGATAATCGTTATTTCAGAAAACTGCGTAACTTTAAGTCGTCAAAATACAACATTATTTTAAAATTTTTATTGTTATCAGTTTTTAAGTTTTACGTTTTTTAATGTCAACATATATTTTTAATTTMATATTATACCTATTTTGATCTATAAAAATTAAATGTTGGATGAATATAGTACTGTAATAATTGCAAGTACTTCATCGGTATTTAAAATTAAGATGAGCGAAGTAGTGGACCAAAATATCTTGTAGAGTATCCCTGCACCATCCCACTCCAATCCATTCTAAACTTTAAACACTAATCAATAAATATAATAATAATAATATATAAGAATCTAACTCGATTTTGGAGACGAAGGAAACCGGTTTTGAACCCTAATAATAATAATTATTATTATTATCATGTATTCACCGATAACGACGTCTGTTTCTTTTTTCTTTTGTTTGTTTATTTTATAATTATTGACCTATTATATGTCCTATAATAATGTACAATGCTAATAAAAATAAAAAATAATAATGTTTCTAATACGGGTATGCGTTCCCTTATTTATTCGATTAATGAGATCCACATCTCCAACTCCAATCGTTAAGTCGTTTGTTGTATAACATTACCAACAGATCTAATTTTTTTTTTTGTCAAATGTTATTTAAACATATTATTTGAATAATAATTATTATTATTATGAGTAATAAAAGATGCATCGTTTTCCATTGTGAATATAGGATATATAATTTTCAGAAATTAGCAATAACAATAACTACAATATGTAATATTATATTATATTATTTGTATAGCCAAAAAATAGTCTTATGTTTTTAAATTAAATTATAAAAAGTAATTTCATCCGGAGGAAGTTCGGGCAGTTAGTTAAGTTCAAAATTATAAACTACAGGTATAAGTACTAGTCTAAAATTATGTGTATTTTTCTATATCGATTTATAGAAAAATATTGTGTTTAACGACATAACATTGTGTAAAGTAGTCATGTATGGTAAAAATTAACGCGTGTCTGATGTTAAATGATCCACCTGGTATACGAGGTGTAACTGATAGAACTGACATTTGGACTARCTTTTTCTCACATTAATATTTTTTATTTTTGTTCATTAAGTGAACCTAGCACTACATGTATAATACATTTTTTTATGTTTTATTTTTTAGTACTGAAAATAAAAATAATTAATTTAAT